TTTATTGATGATTGTTCAAGGATGACATGGATTTATTTAATGAAAGAAATGAGTGAATTAATTTTCATTTTTCAAAAATTCCATGCTGAAATACGTACACAATTTGGTGTTCCAATCAAAGTTCTTCGTTCAGATAACGGTCGTGAATACTTTCTTACTTCCTTTCAACTGTATTTAGATCAGCATGGCATCATTCATTAAACTTCATGTGCACCCACTCAACAAAATAGGGTGGCTGAACGAAAGAACCGACATCTCCTTGAAATTGCTCGGTCTATTCTTCATCATATGAGTGTTCCTAAACGATGTTGGAGTGATGTACTTACTGCGTGTTTCCTTATTAATCGGATGCCCTCCTTCATTCTTCATGGTCGGTTTCCCTTTTCTATTTTGTTCCTCACCTTGTCTCCGTTTCCATTAGCTCCCCGCATCTTTGGTTGTGTGTGCTTTGTTCACAATCTGAGTCCTGGGATAGACAAGTTGGATGCACGCTCTATTAAGTGTGTCTTTCTTGGCTACTCTCAGACTCAAAAAGGGTATAAGTGTTACAATCCCATTACTCGGAAGTGCTGTCTGTCCTGATGTCACATTTTTTGAGTCTGTCCCCTTCTTCTCGGGACCTGAAGCATTGGTGTCTCCACCTTTGCTTCCTCTTCCTCTTCCAGTCCGTGATCCCGTTTCGGTTGTTCCAGTTGGGGTTGACCCTTTACCTCCTCTAGTGCAGATTCCTACTGAACGGCCACCGATCCGGCACGTGTATACTCATCGACAGACACCGGCTCCTCCTCCAGCTTCTACCTTGTCTGCGGATCCTGTTGTTGCTTTTGTCCCAGAACCTTCAGGACTTGATCTTCCCATTGCTTTACGGAAAGGTAAACGTAGTTGTACCCTCCATCCCATTTCCAATTTTGTTTCAGTTTCTCGCCTTTCCACTTCACATCGCCAGTTTGTTTCACTATTGTCATCTATTTCTATACCTAAGAATGTCCAAGAGGCTCTTAGCTCACCTGGGTGGCGGCAGGCAATAGAACTCTCTGCCCTTCAGCATACTCAAACGTGGGAGCTCACTACTCTTCCTCCTGGTAAGCATGTTGTGGGTTGTAAATGGGTGTATACTGTTAAATACTTGCCAGATGGTAGTGTGGAGCGTCTGAAGGCCAGACTTGTTGCTAAAGGTTATTCACAGTTGTATGGGGTGGACTATATGGAGACTTTCTCTCCAGTGGCTAAGATTGGCTCTATCTGTGTCTTAATTTCCCTGGCAGTTATGTATAATTGGCCCTTGTTTCAACTTGACATTAAAAATGCCTTCCTTCATGGTGACCTTATGGAGGAGGTATATATGGAGCAACCACCTGGGTTTGTTTCTCAGGGGGAGGATGGTAAGGTTTGCAGATTGAAAAAGGCAATTTATGGGTTGAAACAATCGTCTCGTGCTTGGTTTGGGAAGTTTAGTGAAG